ATGGCAGCTTTCCACCGGGGAACAGAAAATGTGGTCGGGTGCACTCAATAGATGGCGTTGATATCGTCACCTCCCTCAAGAGAAGGCGTTGTCATCGACCCACCTCCTAAACAAGTTGTGGTCAATTGATTGATTGATGAAGATTAAGCCACCCAAGAGTTGGCACGGGCACGGTAGCCCGTAATAAGTTGTGGTCGGTAGTGCTCCACAGATGGCGTGGATATCATCACAGCTCACTCTACAAATTGCGTCGATATCGTCACACCTCTTAAAAGATTTTGTTTTAGTTTCTAAAACAAAATCAAATTAGCATTTTAGATGCGTCTTAAGGCATCTGCTACCACGTTTGTCTACTCCGTTAATGTGTTTATAATATAAAGGGAGTACAGCTGGAGGTGCAGACTACATCTGGTTAATCTGAAATTCTTCTTATGGAATCGTGTTAGAAATTTTAAGAGGATTATGGTCTGATGTGACCAAAATTATATGACCATTAAGTAGTCATCAAAATGTTGCACATCACTCAACAGGACCAATGTTTCATTCTCTATCACGAAATAATTCCGTTGGCAATTACTTAACTTTTTGGAATAATAAGCCACAGGGTGTTCTATCCCTTTAGAATCATTTTGTGATAACACTACCCCTTGGCCGTAGTCTGAAGCATCAACGGTTAATATGAATCTGTCATCAAAATTAGGGAACATGAGAATGCGAGATGGAATCAATATGGCTGTTAGGCCCTCAAAAGCTAACTGACAGTCCTTATTCCACATGAACTTTGTCCCATTCTTCAGATTTGTCAAAGGTACTGCTATCATCGAGAAGTTTGGAACGAACTTACGGTAGAATCCGGCCACACACAGGAAGCGCAGGACCTCCTTACGTGTTTAAAGGGGCGGATACGAAACGACTGCTTCTTTGTTGTTGTTCTTTGGGGCGACTCATCCTCCGCCAACCACATGTCCTAAAAAGATAACAGAGGTCTCGGCAAATTTAGATTTTTATGCAAATTGAACACCAACTGAGCTTGTTGAATTGCCAAAAAAGAATGCTTCTAGATGTCGTAAATGATCTTCCCAATTTGAGTCTTAGATCATTGCAACATCAACATTGCATTCTCCACGTTGTGTAGCACAAGAGTTATCAATTGCTGAAATGTAGAGGCGGCATTTTTTATTCCGAGGAGCATCACTTTACATTGAAAAAGACCATCTGGAGTCACAAAAGCAGAACTAGGTTTGGCACGCTCTGTCAGAGGTACCTGCCAATAGGCCTTGAAGAGGTCGAACTTCGTTAGGTAGGTGGCCCTACCGATGGTATCAATACACTCTTGTATCCTGGGAAGGGGATATGTATCGGCTACAGTGACCTTATTAACCTGTGTGTAATCAGTGCATAATATATGTTCATTAACAGGCTTGGGTACTGGCAGAACAGGGGATGACCACGTACTAATACTTGGGGCGATCAGATTATGTTGGAGCATGTAGTCTCTCACGTCTTATTACCACCTTCTTACGGGGATGGAGTCTGTAGGAATGTTGCTTTATCTGTCTCCACGCCCTCCTCAAGGATATCGTCGTGCGTCGAGACGGACGTCAGACCTGGAGCATCTGTGAAAATAGACTTAAATTATTTTATTAACACCGTGAGGGATCTGTTGCTCCTCAGGCTTGGTAGCCTGTTAAGGGGGCATATCGAAAAATATCGTTATAAATTAAAATTGTTCAATTTGCTTATAAATTTTTTTATGAAATGGTTATAGAAAGAGCTGCAACTGGTCCAAGTTTCACCATCACACCCTAAACAGAAAAGGAGAAAAAAAATACACAACGTATTATGCAACGAATGTTCAACATTCTCAAATAATCTCAGGGAACACATGTGTCAACTAAAATGTCTACTATGTGCTGTAGAAGCACAAACTCTTGGAAGCACAAACCTGATTTTCAGGAAGCACAAACAAAAGAAGAAGCACAAACAAAACTTTAAGGTCAGGATTGGCATTACAGTTCAGCATTTTATATATATATATATATATATATATATATATATATATATATATATATATATATATATATATATATATATATATATATATATATATATATATATATATATATATATATATATATATATATATATATATAATACACATGAGAGGATGTGCAGTGACTTAATATCTAACATATTCAGAGAGTTGAGTAATCTTCATTGTAATCTGCAATAAACCCAATGGCATCATGCAAAAGAGCATAAAATATATTCAGCTTTCTACATTTTGATAATTCAGTTTTACATTAATTGTTAGGAATCTGTTTTTATTTACAATACAATACAATACAATTTTATTTAGGTAAGGTACATACATACAATAAATTTTTACAAGGATTGGTTGACTTATAGGTAGAGCTAGTACATACAATGCCTAAAACCACTATTACGCAAAGCGTTTCGGGCATGATAAACTTAAATGACAAGCTTAATACTAATTGAGCATAATGAGTAGAATGAAAACAAGAAATGAAAACATAGATGAAAAAGCAGCACAAATACAATTATGTCGACAAACAGCGCTCTTTAAAGAAAAACAGACATTGGTTTAGTCATTAATGTTTTTCCTGCCCGAAACGCTTTGCGTAATAGTGGCTTTAGGCATTGTATGTACTAGCTCTATCTATTAATCCAACAAACTTTGTAAAATCTCTTTATGTATGTACCTTCCCTAAATAAACATTTATTTATTTATTTATAAAGTCTCTAAAACAGTTGGGATACTCTTCCAAATCAGATATTATGTACCTAACTCTGCTCTCATCTCTCTATATTATGCACTAATTTATCCCTATCTTAATTATGGTATCTGTGCATGGGGTTCAACCACTGCAAACCACCTCAAGTCCATCATTACCCAGCAAAAATCTGCTATCAGAATAATAACAAATTCTGCTTTCAGGCAACACTCAGCCCCCTTGTTTAACTCCCTAAACATGCCAAACATAATCTCACTCCACAAATTTTCTTGTGTCAACTACATTTACAAAACCCTGTTCTTAAATGCAAATCCTGCTCTGAAACTCTCCCTGGACAGATGTAATAGGACCCATTATCACCACACCAGAAATAAATATCTCTTTGATATCCCCAGAGTCAAACTTAATTTGTGTAAACACTCTATGCAAATAAAGGGACCCAGTCTATGGAACTCACTCCCGAATGAATTGAAAAACTGTCCAACTTTTGCATCATTCAAAAACAAAACTAAAAAGTACCTAATTTTATCTGCATAGTTTTTTACCTTTTGCTTTAAAATTGCACTGTATCTATTGCTACCCAATCTCCCAATCTTTATGTACCCAATCCGAACATCTTTACTATTGTGATCATTGCTGTTCTTACATGTGCTATCAATCTGCTGTATGGTGTCTGTGAATCTTGTTTAAATTACCAATCAAGTTGTCAATGTAATCAATCAGAGCTTTAATATACCAATGTGCTTTAATATACTTACTAATCTCTCTCATCTCATTTTTTCTTGCAATGTATCTGTTATCATTTTATTAATTCTGATAGAATTTACCTACTTAAAATTATCTGTTAGATTAAGGACCTGCCCGAAAAGCTGCGCATACTAGTAATAATAATAATAATAATAATAATAATAATAATAATAATTTTTATTTAGGCAAAGGTACATACATAAAGAGATTTTACAAAGTTTGTTGGCTTTATAGATAAGAGCTAGTACATACAATGCCTAAAGCCACTATTACGCAAAGCGTTTCGGGCAGGAAAAAACACTACTGACTAAAGCTTAGTGGCTTTACAAGATTGTAAATACTATGCTATGTATTCTCTCTAGCCCAATGTACCTTCTTGTATATAAACAAATAAATAAATAAGTAAATAAACATATATAGACACACATCTTATTTTATTTTTATTTTATTTTATTTATGCATATACAAGAATGTACATAAGGAATGTGAGGATACAAATATGGTAATTACAGTCTTGTAAAGCCACTAGCACGCGCAGCGTTTCGGGCAGGTCCTTAATCTAAGAAAATTTTAATTATTAAGGAGGTAAATACTTGCAAAATTTATAGACAAAAAAATGATAACAGATTACATGAAATGAAAAAAAAGAAGATGAGAGAAAATTGTAGGCACAGTATATTAAAGCACATAGGTAGCTAAGATTGACTGCAATGACAGCTTGAATGGTAGTTGACAAAAATTGGTAGGCACAATACAGCATATGGCTAGCACATAAAAGAAGACAGCAATGAACACAATGATAAGGTTGTTTGATATTACATAAAAATTAGGAGATTTGGTAACACTAGGTACAGAGCAAATTTAAAGCTCAGTGTAGGAAACTAAGAAGATGAAGTTAGGTACTTTTTGGTTTTGCTTTTAAATAAGGCAAAAGTTTTACAGTTTTTCAATTCACTAGGGAGTGAGTTCCATCACGAACAATAAACATATTGCCGAACATTCTGAGAAGGTGGGGTTGGGAGGGGCGTCTATAGGTGGTGAGGTGGGGGAAGGGAATGTGTCTACACCTGTCACATGACTATCAATCTACCAATAACGGACTGGGGGGGTAAGGAGGGGGAGTCTTCTGGTGGTGTGTGGAGGTGTGGGGGAAGGTGTGGATGGGGAGGTGTGGAGGGGGAGAGGGGAAGGGAATGTGGCTACACCTGTCACATGACTGAGGGGAACTGACTCATGACGGCGCCGTTTTCTGTTCGCGGGACCCGACCATCTCCGTTTTCTGTGCTTTGTTATGTTCCAGCAATGTCTCGCTCCCGCTCCCCGACCTCTAACTTCTTCCAAACAAAACCTGCTCGGCAGCATAATAAACACCCCGAACTCAAACAATAAATATTATCAGCTAGATCCCAATAAAATGAGTTAATAACGGCACTTGGATAGCAATAACGGGGAGGAAGAGGGTGAGGAGGAGGAGAGGAGGGTGCGAGCAGAGGGATGACCACTTCCGGAGGACAGTGAAGCACACACCTGAGCCGCCGAGACATATTGTCCTCTTCCTCACCTTTACTACGTTCTCCCTCAACTTTTTTCACTAAAATGGTAACGAACGGTAGACGGAAATGTACGTTAGGGTTGCCTTAGTGTGCCTGAAGGGCGTTGGGGGCGGATATTTGCATGTAGAGTGATAGATAGGGCGCGAGGAATGACAGTGCCTAATTGGACGAGTGTGACAACTAAAAGTCTTGTTAATTGTGTTATTTGGGTTCATTGTATGTTATTGGGGGCGAGGTGATAATTGTTTAGTGCAGTGGAGCAAGGCGTGGCCTTGAGGCACTTCCCGGCCACAGTTGCGGGATATTTTTTCTTCACCCTGACCTATAGATTGGTATTTTTTGTGCGGGGTGAGCCACCCACACCAGCCAGAGCTCCCTTACACCAGCCAGAGCTCCCCTACACCAGCCAGAGCTTCCCCACACCAGCCAGAGCTCCCTTACACCAGCCAGAGCTTCCCCACACCAACCATAGCTCCCCTACACCGGCCAGAGCTCCCCCACACCAACCATAGCTCCCCTACACCAGCCAGAGCTTCCCCACACCAACCATAGCTCCCCTACACCGGCCAGAGCTCCCCCACACCAACCATAGCTCCCCTACACCAGCCAGAGCTGCCCCACACCAACCATAGCTCCCCTACACCAGCCAGAGCTGCCCCACACCAACCATAGCTCCCCTACACCGGCCAGAGCTCCCCCACACCAACCATAGCTCCTCCACACCAACCATAGCTCCCCCACACCAACCATAGCTCCCCCACACCAACCATAGCTCCCCCACACCAGCCAGAGCTCCCCCACACCAGCCAGAGCTCCCCTACACCAGCCAGAGCTCCCCTACACTGGCCAGAGCTCCCCCCACACCAACCAGAGTTCCCCTACACCAGCCAGAGTTTCCCCACACCAGCCAGAGCTCCCTTACACCAGCCAGAGTTTCCCCACACCAGCCAGAGCTCCCCTACACCAGTCAGAGCTCCCCTACACTGGCTAGAGTTTCCCCACACCAGCCAGAGCTCCCCTACACCAGCCAGAGCTCCCCTACACCAGCCAGAGCTCCCCTACACCAGCCAGAGCTCCCCTACACCAGCCAGAGCTCCCCTACACCAGCCAGAGCTCCCCTACACCAGCCAGAGTTTCCCCACACCAGCCAGAGCTCCCCTACACCAGCCAGAGTTTCCCCACACCAGCCAGAGTTTCCCCACACCAGCCAGAGCTCCCCTACATCAGCCAGAGCTCCCCTACACCAGCCAGAGCTCCCCTACACCAGCCAGAGTTCCCCTACACCAGCCAGAGTTTCCCCACACCAGCCAGAGCTCCCCTACACCAGTCAGAGCTCCCCTACACCGGCTAGAGTTTCCACACACCAGCCAGAGCTCCCCTACACCAGGCAGAGCTCCCCTACACCAGCCACTGTACCTCTCCACCAGTCAGATTTCATCCACACCAGCCACATTACCTCTAGTCACTTTATATATGCTGTTTGTAAGTGCTCATACACTCACATCAAACCTATTAACATAATTTTTTTGTCATTTTTACATTGTTATTTTGGATGTTGTAATTTGTTGGTGTTTGTGCAACAAATATAAACATACAAGCATGTTAACTCATTTACAAGCTTTGAAGGACCTTTTATTTTGTGTGTAAATGTTAATATTTTTTTATGTTCTCCATTTATGTCCAATAATGATTAATTGTAAATACAGTATGAAGAAATCATTAATTTTCCCAATTAGAACTGTAGGAAAAAAAAGATAAAACAGATGAGTGACAAAATAATGCAAATCATTGTAGGAAAAAAAGGGTCAAAATAATTGTTTTCTTTTTTTAACTAAATTATATTCAGTTTGAAGGTGAGGTCTGTGTGCTTGGATAGTAAGTCAGATGGGGACACATCTGAGAATTATAAATAACCACTTACTTTTCCTTGAAATCAAAGTCTTGTTTGATTAGTCCTGTTTATATATATATATATATATATATATATTTATATATATATATATATATATATATATATATATATATATATATATATATATATATATATATATATATATATATATATATATATATTTATTTATTTATATTATCCCAGTTTCTACTTAGCAGCTTTGAATGACTGGTGGAGCATAACTTCAAGGCCCTTTTCTTTTTCAATCTGCTGCATGGTTGTGTTGTTGATGCGGTAGTTATGATGCGTGTTGTTACTCCTAACACACAAGATCTGCAATTTATAATACAGTATTGAAAAGAATTTTCCCATTCTTTGACAGAGTACACAAACACTTTCATGCACCACAACCAGTTCCAACACAACACACACTACACACAGAAAAATTAGGAAAGGCGGTGGCGTTGCTGTGCTGGCGAAAGAACACCTAAAGGTGAACGAAATAATGACTTCCAATCCACAAGAAGTTGACATAATAGCACTAGAGATCTGCCATGAGGATGATAAACTAATGATCATAAATGCATATAGTCCACCACCAAGCAGCACATGGTCAAAGGAGGAGCTAGATAGTAAACGAGAAGGTCTTATAACAATAATGAGAGAGATCATAGCGAGAGCGGATAACGATAGTTCACGACTGTTGATAGTCGGCGACTTCAACTTGAAATCCATAGACTGGGAAGCATGTGAAGCTAAAACAGAAGATTTCTGGACCTGTAAATTCGTAGACCTCATCCTGGAAACATTCTTGTATCAACATGTTAACACTTTGGCGTACCCCGCGCGCCACCCCTCAACTGTGCGATTTGGGTCCCAGGGTTTCACGGGAGCGTGCGTTAATTCTGAAAAGTGTATACTCTCTTCAACTTTGTCACCTTAATTCTCGTCCTACGAGATTAAATTTGGTATCATTTTGTTCGCAATAGAATTCTCTACAGCACTAAATGCATATAAACTCCAAAAGCCTGGCTAATTACCTGCAGCAAACAGAGAAAGTGCGAACGAGTTACCCAGGAGCGCGCAAAAGCGATAAAATGTGTTCACTCTTTTCACTCTGGTCACCTCAATTTTCGTCCTAGGTCTTTCATTTTGGTATCAATGGGTCCGCAATAGAATTCTCTAGAGGAACATTAGCATATAAAATAAAAAAACCTGGTCACGCTCCACCCGCCAACGAGTTGAAGACGGGCCACGCGTTAACCGCGAGTGAGCGCCCAGACGCCTTCCAGATACACTCCCAATTCCTGCCCACAAATGTTTAGTATTTAGTATTTTAGTATATGTAGCATTATAGTTTAGTATTTTTTGTGTAGTAGTTGTACATCACATAAGCATTGTAGATAGCCATTTGCACAAAATAGATAGTCATTTTCTTCGTCCATTTGTGAGTTTTCCTTATGAAGTGATAATATTTGATCATTTGGTCAAAGTGATCAACACCTTTCATGTTTGTATTGTAGTCATAGATTGCATTTGGCTTGTTGACAGTTACCAAACAGTCCCCCCAAAATTGGATAAAAACCTGATTTTTGGCAATTATTTTAGTGGATGACGCAATGCTGCGTCATCCCCGAGATTACCGACAGTAAACAGATGACGCAATGCTGCGTCATGCCCGGACTAAAGTGTTAAACAAGCTACGAGGATGAGGGAAGGGGACGTTCCCTCCATGCTAGATTTGATATTTACCAGGAAGGAGGAAGAAATATTTGACATTCAGTACCTTCCTCCCTTGGGTAAAAGTGACCATGTCTTTTTGGGAATAAAGTATGCAATGCGTTATAATCTGGAAGAAAATATGACGGTCGATGCAATTGAAAAACCTGACTTTAGGAGAGGACATTATGGCAACCTTAGAAAATTTTTTAGTGAGTATAATTGGACAGAGTTGTTGCTAGGCAAGGAAATGAATGAGATGTATGTCAGGTTTTGTGAAATATATGATAAAGGCACAAAAAAATTTATACCAAAAGAGAGAAACAGAACTAGGAAACAGGATTGGTTCAACAGAAAGTGCGAGAGGGCCAGAGACCAAAAGACACAAAAATGGAATCAATACAGGAAGAGGCCGAACCCCCAAACATACCAGCGATACAAAGATGCGAGAAACAACTACACGGTAGTGAGGAGAGAGGCAGAAAAAATTTTGAAAAAGGGATTGCAGACAAATGTAAAACAGAACCAGGTCTATTCTATAAATTCGTAAACAACAAATTGCAGGTGAAGGATAATATTCAGAGGTTGAAAATGGGAAATAGATTCACGGAAAATGAAAAGGAAATGTGTGAAACATTAAACGAAAAGTTCCAAAGTGTGTTTGTACAAAATGAAATCTTCAGGGAACCAGATACAATAAGAATTCCAGAGAACAACATAGAGCACATAGAGGTGTCTAGAGACGAAGTGGAAAAAATGCTCAAGGAGCTACATAAGAACAAAGCAGTTGGTCCAGATGGAGTTTCACCATGGGTTCTGAGAGAATGTGCACCTGAGCTCAGCATTCCTCTTCAACTGATTTTTCAGGCATCTCTGTTTACAGGAGTTGTAGCTGATGTGTGGAAAAAGGCTAACATAGTTCCAATCTACAAAAGTGGAAGCAGGGAAGACCCCTCTTAATTATAGACCTGTATCATTGACAAGTGTAATAGTCAAAATATTGGAAAAAATAATTAAATCTAAATGGGTAGAACACCTGGAGAGAAATGATATAATATCAGACAGTCAGTATGGTTTTCGATCTGGAAGATCCTGTGTAACGAATTTACTCAGTTTCTGTGATCGAGCCATGGAGATCTTACAGGAAAGAGATGGTTGGGTTGACTGCATCTATCTGGATCTAAAAAAGGCTTTCGACAGAGTTCCACATAAGAGGTTGTTTTGGAAACTGGAACATATTGGAGGGAGGACAGGTAAGCTTCTAACATGGAGGAAAGTTTTTCTAACTCATTGAAAAATGAGGGCAGTAATCAGAGGCAATGTATTGGACTCTAGAAATGTCACAAGTAGAGTACCACAGGGTTCAGTTCTTGCACCGGTAATGTTCATTGTCTACATAAACGATTTACCAGATGGAATACAGAATTAAAATCAATTCTGAGTCGCTCCATAGGTAAAAAAAACTTTGATAAAAAAACAGAGTCATTGCTGTGAATGTTGAGCAGCAAAATGCTCAGGTAAAGGTGTTGGGGGGGGGAGCACATTTTCTTTACCAAGGCAATGTTGTATGGTATAGCAGAAGGAAGCCAGCTCCAACCTTTATTCCTGTACACATTTTCTTTACCAAGGCAATGTTGTATGGTATAGCAGAAGGAAGCCAGCTCCAACCTTTATTCCTGTATTTTGTTATTCTTTGGTTCACCTTCTGTTATCCAGCATGCATGCTACACAGCATTGGTCAGTAATCAGCACAAAATGACAACTGGCAAGGAAATGACTCCATTTATGCACCGCCTCTATAATGGCAGTAGCCTCTTTCTCTACTATTGGATATTGTGGTTCACTACTCTGTAGAGTCCTAGACATCAATGTAACTGGACATCCATGTTGGTTCAAGACTGCTGAAATAAAAATTTCTGTGGCATTACACACCACCACAAATGGCAGGTCTTTATCGATGTATTTTAGAGTTGCATCCAGAAGTTGTTATTTAAAGACTTCATATGCTATTAAGGCTGCTTCACCCAGTGGAAGTGTCTTACCTTTTACCTAAGGTTGAATCGTGTATGAAAAATTGAGGATCCATATGGCATTATAAGTGAACATTCCCAGCGCCCTCCACAGAGCTGCTACGTTCATAGGTGGTGGTAACTCTTGAAGTGGGCACATCCTTTCTGTATCGGGCTTTATGGTACCACACCCTATACAATAGATAAGAACATTAATTGTGGGTGCTGATTTTACAGATGTCGTTGTTTACATTTTACAGATGTGCTTCTGAGAGTGCACAGACTGAATTAGTGCTAGCGATTATGAGCTCTGGTTTATGTCCTCCATACTTGAATGTCATACTTGTGTGTTGTTTTTGAAAGTCTTGGCCCAAAAGTAAGTCACAATGCAGGTCTTTTTATACCCCAAGACTGGAAGATGGGTAAGTTTGGCCATTGAGCTCCAAAATTACGTTAGAAAACCCCACAGAACTGGTACTTAATGACTTTGTTGCCATAGAGATCTTCTTTAAGTAATGGATGCACCATCAAATATAGTTCCCTTGAAGTGGTTTCACTTATGAAACTATCTGAACTACACAAATTAATGCCATCAGTTTGTGTCCATTTACTGAAACTTCAATGGCTGCATGTGAGAGGCTCTGCAGAAGTGCAGTTGTAATAGCAAGAAGAGTAGGATTGTACATTGTAGCAGTAGTACTCACAGATGTTTTAGACTGACAGGTTTTAGCATAATGTGCTTTCTTGAAGCAATTATGTGAGGTGACATTACATGCCGGACACTTGTTTCTGATATGAAGCACACCACTACACAAGTAGCATTTTGTAGTAAGTATATTATGTCAGTAATATACTTGCTCTAAATTCTCATTAGCTTATGTGCACATAATGAGATGGGTCTGTTAATTCTACTTAGTCCACTAATTACAATAATACCTCTTCCCATGTGTACAGTTAGTACCCCCTTCCCAAACCTGCTAGAGGATGGTCAGGGGAGGTGTGGACTGGTAATATAGGTAGTCGACAGCGAATCATCATCAGTCTAACTCCAAAAGTGGTTCAGTAAAGACTCATGAGAGATATCGCATATCTTCAACATCCACAAACGACAATGTAACACTTGACGAGTCCAGTTCCTACTCTAACAAGATGCTTAAGTCTCGACACAGTTCAGATAGCCAGACTCCAGCTGCATTGAGCTTCTATGCTCTCGTCTCGCACTAAGCTCCTCAACTCTGCCCCCATTCAGGGGGCCATGCTCTACACACACCCTGCATCTGTGCTGCTTTCTTTCCCTGGCCTCACTCAGGTCTCTGCCTTGCTCCAGGCTTTGTCTCGACTACTACATTGCTAACAAACCGACTGCTGTAACCATGACTATACAGTACTAAATAAATATAGAAAAACCACTATACTGTACTCTGTCTAATCAACCAAATAACATTCACATAAAGTTACGTTGCAATTTCTTTTTGGCAGTGTATGCCAATGTATGATTCTCATGGTCTAGTTTTTTTTATGGGGATGCCTTTGTAAGTGAGATACGGTAATACTGCAGCCCGTTCTCATGAGTGTTCCCAACGTCAAGAAACTGTTGTACTTAACACTTTACCTACCTGATGCCACAATATGCATCATAAAACCAAACCACGGAGAGTTCCTGATGATGTATTATTACTTATAAACATTGTGGGTGAATGAGTTTAACATTGGGTTGTGGTCACTGGGAATGCTCGGCCTACCTTCTGGTGCAATTTGGGTGCCCCGCAGGGCCAGCGAAAGTGTCAAGTGCCTTAACATAACCAACCAAAGGACACACGAACAGAAAATGGGACATTATGTCAGTTTTGCAAGCTGCTACCAATTTCTTGTTCATCAGTTTTTGTCCTTAGGTAAATGTACATCAAAATGTGATGTGCTATAAAGAGAACAGGTTGAATGTTGTACTGAAATGATAATGGCGGTAACCTAAACACTGTACACCGTGCAGCATGTTATTGATGCTTATGCTCTGCTCACCTATATAATTCAATAATTAAGTTGCTTGATAAAGAAAACAGTGCTTCTCTTAATGAGAAAGATGTAGAGTACAGGAAATAACTCCTTGGTGGCAGAAGTGCTCGAGTTTAGTCTTGTAAAGTACCATATAATGAAATGTTTGGGGGACATGAGTTGGGTACAAAAGTGAGCTGGTTTATGAGAATACCTAAATGGTTTATAGAACAGAAGAGACAGGTTTTTATAATAGCAAGCAACTTTCAGTGCTGATGGGGCATGCTCTATCTATTTAATTGTTGAAACGGTTTTCAATAACATTAAAATGGTCACTTGGTTGTCATTCCGGTGATTGGTGATTAGTTTTATCAGTAATTGGGTTTTCTTAGTTTACCTGCTCGTTGCAGAGGTCAGTGCTGTAAGTGCAGGAAGGGAAACATTTGATGCAGTAATTTCTTTGGAGTAGGGGCTATTACATACATTTTAAGGATCTATAAAGTAATGAGTGTAAAGTACTGTAAATCTTTGTGTTGTAGTAGGTGGTTTACTGAATGTGTTAAGATTCATTTTCTTACATGATTGTACTTCCAGTAGGATGGCGCTTTAAGAACACTTGTCACACTACAGATCACATGCATCTTATGATTTTGAAACCTTGCCGACAGGTTGCCACTCCAAGGTGTCGCTGGAATGGAGTCTAGGCCTCTGAATCGTCATACTATTATGAACAACCCACTGATGCGACACCCTAATTATCAGGCCCTGAACCAGCCATCACAGTCCACTGTGAGTCGCCTCTTTTTTGCTCTGATGCCATAGTTGATAAGCTGCAAGAGTTGCAGGATATGGTAGTGTGTAACCAATCCTCGCTTGTTTGTGTGATGCTCATCTCATTCCAGTCTCAGGACTGTGTGCTTGTCTTTATTTGCAGAAAAGGTATGTTTCAATCTATTTTTAATAGTACATCTGATTTGGGATGTAATACTGGGGAGTACTGTATATCTATACTGAAGGGAGCACTTAATTAATGTTTATGTATTAAACATACAACAAATAACATTTAATGATCTTTGGAATTGCTTAGCTTTGTATACTGTCCACTCTACTAATTGAGTTGTATTTTTGTGTACAATTCCCTCCTCTCACTAAAACACTTTTATTCTTGTATGCTCTTTAGCTTTTCTTGTGGGTACAGTCTGCTCTACTAATACCCATAGTCATGTGTGCAATACTCTGTACTAACAGCCTTAGTTGTGTGTACAATCTGTACTCCTAACAGCCTTATTTGTGTGTGCAATGTGCTCTATAAACAGCATTGTTCTTGTGTACTTGTTACTCTGCAATTAAGCTTTGGTTTTGACTTGTATACTATCCACTCTGCTGATTAACCTTGGTATATTCTTGTGACATGTCAATTACACTAATCTTGGTATAGTTTTGTGCATAATCTGCTTTAATAACAGCTTCACCCTTGTGTACAGTCCTGTTTTATTATGTACAGAATCACCAGTACAGCTTTTGTTTCACTAGTCCCTAGATCTCGGTTGTGCATGTGTAATGATTGTGTAAATTGTTGGCGGGAGTGTGCGACTTCCTGCAGGACCTGGAGTGGCTCCGAGGGTCTCGGCATTATTGTGAGACGGTTACACTCCTGGTGTTCGTGTGTTTGACACTTGCCTCTTAGTCTTGCTTTCTCTGGCCTAAGTTAAATTTATTGTAGTTGCAGCAATTTAAATGTTTATGATACGATATTGATGGAGTAAATTAGTCTTGTCAAGACTTATCACAGTTATTATATAATAGGTGACAGTTCCATAGTCTTGTATATTAAGAGCTAATAGAGGGTAGCAGTCCAATTCTAACTTGACTAATGCTTTTGGTCAACCCACTGAGCAAGCAGCCATTTCTTCCTGCGAGCCATATCACACAACCCTTCCCTTCCACTGATGATGTCAGCTAACACTTCCTCCCACTGACCATGTTAAGTAACACTTGCTCCCACTGACCATGTCAAGTAATACTTCCTCCCACTGACCATGTCAAGTAACACTTCCTCCCACTGACCATATGAAGTAACACTTCCTCCCACTGACCATATGAAGTAACACTTCCTCCCACTGACCATATGAAGTAACACTTCCTCCCACTGACCATATGAAGTAACACTTCCTCCCACTGACCATATGAAGTAACACTTCCACTGACCATATGAAGTAACACTTCCTTCCACTGACCATATGAAGTAACACTTCCTCCCACTGACCATATGAAGTAACACTTCCACTGACCATATGAAGTAACACTTCCTTCCACTGACCATATGAAGTAACACTTCCTCCCACTGACCATATGAAGTAACACTTCCTCCCACTGACTCCCCCTTCACATAACCCTTTCCATCTTCACACACACTGATTTTATCTACTAATCCTTCCCATCTTCATGCCTCCTGACCCCCATCAAGTAACCCTTCCCATCTCCATGCCTCCTGATCCCATCAAGTAACCCTTCCCATCTCCATGTCTCCTGATCCCCATCAAGTAACCCTTCCCATCTCCATGTCTCCTGATCCCCATCAAGTAACCCTTCCCATCTCCATGTCTCCTGATCCCCATCAAGTAACCCTTCCCATCTCCATGTCTCCTGATCCCCATCAAGTAACCCTTCCCATCTCCATGTCTCCTGATCCCCATCAAGTAACCCTTCCCATCTCCATGTCTCCTGATCCCCATCAAGTAACCCTTCCCATCTCCATGCCTCCTGATCCCATCAAGTAACCCTTCCCATCTCCATGCCTCCTGATCCCCATCAAGTAACCCTTCCCATTCCTCACCCACAGTCCACATCGTGTAACTCTTCTCTTCCAAGTGAAGAGTTATCGGACCAGTTTCCACACTAGCAAAGTCCCATATTATGCTGAATCTGAACATACTTGGAAGTTACATTACATAAAATGATCGACTGTGTTTATTGTAAAAGTTCTGCAAAGTTCTGAATATCTTGTGTAGACATTTTATCATGCCCAGCACTGAGTAGGTATAGGTGCTGTGGGTTACTCTCATATATGGAGGGGAATGATGTCACATTTGCTTTGTCTCCTTCAGCTAGTGTGAATAATGAGGTATTTACTATTTGTGCCTGCAAGATTGAAATGCTAGCTCTTGGACACCATCTTTCTAACAGTCGGATGTCTAATGTACTGACTCCTAACTGAATTTTCTTTTAACATATCTACTGTCCTATATATATTTCTCTCTCTCACACACAGAGATCCCCAAGGATGCAGTCTCTAGCAGCTGTCTAGCTCCCAGGTATTTACTGCTAGGTGAACAAGAGGCATCAGGTGAAAAATGTTTTTTCATTTGTTTCTGCCATGGCCATGTATCAAACCTGGGCCCTTTGGACTGCAACTCCATGGCGCTGAGTATTTTTCAGATGCTGTACATAGTTCGATCATTGTTTTAAAGTGACAATTTTCGTTCTCAACAGTAAAATCCCTGACACAACTCATTAGTCACATCTCATGCTTTAGACACAATCCTGATGTGGATATTTATGTGAATATACTCGAGGACAACCATCACTTCACTTGTCAGGTTGAGTGTCATTGAAAAAAAGAAGTACCTGGAGCTAGTTGGATAGGATTCTTAATATACATTTCCTTAATTTTGTGGGTCAATGTCTTAGTGGTGTAGGTCAATATTTATTTACCATTATTGTTTGTATATAGACGAGCTAGAAGGAATTGTTACTTGTACAGTGGATGACCTGGATGCTATATTGAGTTGATAAACCTGTCTTAGATGATGCATTTGCCAAGTCTTGATTTAAATTATTTTCTGGGGGGAACTTCGATTCCCCGGAACTATCCAGGCTGATGTGTATATCATTAAACTTTGGCATCAGTGTGAATGGAGTTCTAGGCCTACCGGGAACCACAAGCCAGAACCTGGCCCCCAGAGAGTCACGAGGAGCAATGGTCTATAGAAATACACATGGGATTTGGAGCATTCTATGTCTGCCATCGACCAGGCCAGGCACCCATAAAGGTAAGTGCCTCAAAACAAACCCCCCATTCTGGTTAAAATAACTAAAGAAGACTAATGAGTGGACAGAACTTCCCAATTGAAAACGAGCAAAAGTGCATGACGTCACACGTGCCACACTGCATGTCTGCACAGCTCTCCCCTCCACAAGAGGGGGATGGGGGAGCCCCAGACCCACCGCACCGGCGATCCACCCTTCAATTCTTGGCTGATGTGATTGTGGTTTGGTCATGTGGCTCCAGCTCCGGATTCTGTGTTGTGCTGTGTCTTGTGTCCAGTACTGCTCTTACAGTGGCATGCGAGCTGGGAGTAATGTTCACAGGTACTTTAGCTGCATGTGCTTAGGGTTCCCTGAGTGCCCTGTAAGTACCGTCCTTGGGGCTTGGAGTTTTCTTCCACAAGTCACCTTGGGGTCTACCTCCGTTGGTCTTTTGCTGCTCGGTGATTGACCACCTCGAGTGTGTTGGGTGGTTTCCTTCCTTGTTTACCTTGGGGTTAGTGGTAGTTTTTGCACTGGTAGGGGGGCGAGTACTGCCCAGCTAGTTTTCACCTATAACAGCAGCTGACTGTTCCTTTTGGGTAAGTTGTCCTCTTGCGGGGTTTATCTTTTCATTTTATTTCCGACTGGTGGGGGTTCTGCCTTTGTGTCCCTTGCACCAGTTATATTAGGGTCGTGACCTTCGGTGTTCGATAGTACCCCCTGCTTGGCCCCCCTCCCCGTGATTGGACATGTCCCGGGGTTTCAGCTTTAGAAGTTTGTTTGGTAGACTTGGGTGCCGGTAAGCAGTACCCTGCCTGGACTTACCCTTAGTGATAACAGTCTAAGAGCCCTGGGAAACCCCGCGGGGGCACAAGGGGTCCAATAGTTTGAGGGTTGCTCTGTCCCTTTGTCATAGGGCGATGCTCATTGTTTTTGCCTCCGTCATGCCGCCTATTGGGTCGGTGACACCTTCGACCTGGAGTCCTGTGAGCATTGTTGCTTGGTTGTGACTCCACTCACCCAATCCACTGTTGACATTATCCGGGTGCAGGTGGTTGATTGTTATTCCTAGATGTCCCAAGGCTGCCCCGCTTTGCTTATAGGGACCCGAACTTTGGGTGTTGGTCGCTTCGGCCTTGGTTCGGTCTGCACCCCCTTGCTCTTCCCCTGCTGTGGTTCGTTCTGGTCTTTTCCCCTTGCTTCCGGCTCCGGAACATCTGAGAGCTTCTGAGTCAGGGCGGGGTTTAGAGGATTCTGAGACTCGGGCAGTTTTGGGGGTTGCCCCTTCTGGGATGGCGATGGAGGCATTCGAGTTGGTTCCACCAGCCGTTGCATATGAGGGTCTGACCAGGGGGCCCCCCTACTTAGTGTTTTTACAGCTGCCCTGGCTTTTTCTTTTGAGGCCAGTGCTTTGGAGGAAAATTCGGGCCCTGGGTCCTGGTGTGGAGGTTCCCGGGGTTGGGAGGGGGGGGGGGTGGACTTGGGACCCATTTGACCCCGTTATGGGTTTTCCTACCCTCTGAGTGGGGCTTACTGTTACATGGAATGGGGGGTTTTCCTTCCCCTTTCCCCGCTACATATGAGTTGGTTTGGGTGTCGGCCCCCTCCCCAGGTTTGGTTCCATGTCCCTTTGGGTCTGTCAGTTCCATCCTTCATGTGGGTAATTTTCACCACTTTCTCAACATTCTTATCTAGGACGAGTACATCATGTCACAATCGTGTTCGAATCGTATCGGGATCCTGCATGACCATTGGACACGTATGCCAATTGGCCCATATGAGCCTCTGTGATTTTGTATTTGATTATCAGGGATCTTGAAAGTTTGAGAAGAACTTCGATACTTCAAATACTGTAGACACGAGATTATCCTGAATCCGACCATCTGAAAAATGCCCTTATCCGGCTAAAATCATGGCCGGATAAAGTTATCTCACTATTCGGCCAAAATGTCCATGGGAGCCGGAAAAGCGGGTGTTTAGCCGGATGAGTGGCCTAACACTTGTTGTACACCACCACCAGGAAGGGAGGGAGTCACCCCTCACTGCTGCTCACTTCCTCTGTCCCACCCTCCCACCCACATTCACTTTCCCTCCCTCCCTCCCCAAGAGATCCTTCTGTAGGTGGCAGTAGAGTGCCAGCCTGGAGAATTTCCATCTAATACAATTAAGAAGTACCTGGAGCTAGTTGGATAGGATTCTTAATATACATCATGAAACAAGTACTTTTATACATTTTTATTATCCTAATAATATTGCTAAACAAAATCTGTAAGCAAAAATATTTATGATCATGTACTGTACATCCAGAATTTAAGAAACAAAATTTAAGAAACAATTCTGGCTATTGATGACGAGTGTAGGGTTATCTTAGTGAGCCCGTCCCTCCCCCCACCACTGACACACCTCCCCCCACCTGCCCCACACCCCATACACACACTGCTTAAAGGTCACAGTTCAACTGTTCATAATTCCCTCCCTAAGGGAAGAAGGGAGGGAGTCGATCAGGAAGGGAAGGGAAGGAGGGAGGGAGTCGGTCAGGAAGGGAAGGGAAGGAGGGAGGGAGTCGGTCAGGAAGGGAAGGGAAGAAGGGAGGGAGTCGATCAGGAAGGGAAGGGAAGGAGGGAGGGAGTCGGTCAGGAAGGGAAGGAGGGAGGGAGGGAGTCAGTCAGGAAGGGAAGGGAAGGGAAGGGAAGGAGGGAGGGAGTCGGTCAGGAAGGGAAGGGAAGGAGGGAGGGAGTCAGTCAGTCAGGAAGGGAAGGGAAGGAGGGAGGGAGTCAGTCAGTCAGTCAGGAAGGGAAGGGAAGGGAAGGAGGGAGGGAAGGAGGGAGGGAGTCGGTCAGGAAGGGAAGGGAAGGAGGGAGGGAGTCAGTCAGGAAGGGAAGGGAAGGAGGGAGGGAGTCAGGAAGGGAAGGGAAGGAGGGAGGGAGTCGGTCAGGAAGAGAAGGGAAGGAGGGAGGGAGTCGGTCAGGAAGAGAAGGGAAGGAGGGAGGGAGGGAGTCGGTCAGGAAGAGAAGGGAAGGAGGGAGGGAGTCGGTCAGGAAGGGAAGGGAAGGAGGGAGGGAGTCAGTCAGGAAGGGAAGGGAAGGAGGGAGGGAGTCGGTCAGGAAGGGAAGGAAAGGAGGGAGGGAGTCGGTCAGGAAGGGAAGGGAAGGAGGGAGGGAGTCGATCAGGAAGGGAAGGGAAGGAGGGAGGGAGTCGGTCAGGAAGGGAAGGGAAGGAGGGAGGGAGGGAGGAGTGTTGAGTGTGTGGGGTAACAGATGTGACTCACTTAAGCCTACCAAGGAAGGTGGCATTGGAGGTGTTGCAAGAATTATATTGTTTTCTTATTGCTGTGGAGAGCTAGTTACGAATATTAAATAACACACTATAATAGTTGAACAGTACAGAACAGTATTTGGTTTGCTATTTATTCATTTAAATATTTACAAGAAAATAAAATGGGATTTACCAGAACTTAAGGCGCATATGTTAAAAGTCATTGTACAGCGTGTTAACACCCACGTGTTGACACGTGGAAGGGAGATGGGAAGGCCAGTGTGAGGTGGGGGGGGGGGGGGTGACCAGGCAGGACATGTGATCTGTCTGTCCAGTCTCGCTCATCCATCCACTTCTTCACCCACCTGCCTGCATGCCCACCTACCAACCCATCCATCTGTTCACCCACCTGCCTGCTCGCCCACCCGCCTGCCTGCATGCCCACCTGTTCACCCACCTTCCTGCTCGCCCACCCAACTGTCTGATAGCCCACCCACCCACCCACCTGTTCACCCACCTGCCTGCTCACTCACCCACCTGCCTGGCTCGCCCACGTCTTTTTGGGAATAAAGTATGCAATGCGTTATAATCTGGAAGAAAATATGATAGTTGATGAAAATGAAAAACCTGACTTTAGGAGAGGACATTATGGCAACCTCAGAAAATTTTTTAGCGAGTATAATTGGACAGACTTGTTGCTAGGCAAGGAAGTGAATGAGATGTATGTCAAGTTTTCTGTAATATATGATAAAGGCACAAAAAAATTTATACCAAAACAGAGATGCAGAACTAGGAAACAAGATTGGGTCAACAGAAATTGCGAGAGGGCCAGAGACCAAAAGACACAAAAATGGAATCAATACAGGAAGAGGTCAAACCCCCAAACATACCAGCCATACAGAAATGCGAGAAACAACTACACGGCAGTGATTAGAGAGGCAGAGAGAAATTTTGAAAAAGGGATTGCAGACAAATGTAAAACAGAACCAGGTCTATTCTATAAATTCATAAACAACAAATTGCAGGTAAA